ATGGATATTATCTAGTGTTCAAAGGTATTCCCTTGTGCATTTGAATATTCAATATCACCTCAATATTTTATTTTTTTACCATTAAGATATTTAATGTTAAGGACTACATACTTTCACTTTTTGGAACGTGTAAACTTCCTTAAATGTGACAGGGTAATCACAGTACCACCTACATTCTCTACTTACGTATTTTGCTTAAATCTTTAAAATTCTTTAAGGTAGATATTCTCATTTTCCAAATGAGAAAATTACGGGTCAGAATCATTGTGTAACTTTCCTGAAGTTATAGAGCTTCAAAAGTTTGTGGAAAAGTAGAATTAAAAGATAATGGATTTTTTTCTCTGAACTTCTGAAATCCTTCCTTGTACACAACTAGTAAGTGGCAGAGTTGGGATATGAACCTAAGTCTGCTTGACTGCAAAGTCTATGATTCCCTGTGTATTTCACAAATGTTAAGTTTGGCTCACAGTGACATCCCCATCTTAGTTTATGGGTTACTGAAGAAGTATGTGGGCCAGGTTTCTGTTCCACAGTAAGAAAATATAGGTAGAATGAATGAACTAAGACTAGGATACTTGCACAGCAATATTTTTTGGATTTCTGAAGGAAGTCCAGAGAGCTTGTTTTCCTCTTCAGTAGCAGGGAAGGATATGGGAGAATGTTTTGAAATCGAATTCAGTCCTAAGGTCTGAATTTTCCCTACCATCAGTCACCTTCAACTCAGTGGTTTGTGACCATTTGAAGGTGTGACCGTGTTTAGAAGCCTTGGCCAGATCTTTTCAGTAAGGACTACAAGTGTGGCAATGACTTTCTGTAGAGTGCAATGAATGGTGCAAAGGCAGGCCTAACAACTGCTCTGAGACTAGCAATATAACTAAAAGATAGCTACGGAGAAGTTGAGTTAGTGAATGTTAAAGCTAATTAACTATAGGCACATTTTTGGTTTGAGGAGCCTTGGAGGTGTAGTGGTTGTGTTGGGCCGCTCACCACAAGGTTGGTAATTCGAAGCCACCAGCTGCACTGTAGGAGAAAGATAGGGCTTTCTACTCCTGTAAAGAGTTAAGAGCCTCAGAAACCCACAGGGGCAGTTTTATTCCGTTCTATAGGGTAATTATGAGCCAGTTTAGTGACAATCTAAGTGGGGGGAAAAAAGCTAAAGGATCTGATTTATACTTTGCTCGAGATCCAACACTTTACATTTGACATGGAAGATCCAGTGATTGAACTCATGCAAAGACATGGGCTGGGGCATGCTTAAAGTCAGGCTGCAGTTGCCACTGTATTCAAGAAAACCACAAAGATAAATGCAATTTGTAGAAGCAGGTTTTAGTTTTCTTCCATTTACATCTCAGGGAGTTTCATCCTCCTGGAATTAGAACTGCACTGTCCAATGCGGTAGCCACAAGTGGCTCCTAAGCACTTGAATTGTGACTAGTCTGAACTGAGGAGTGCTCTCGTGTGTAAAATACATTCTGCGTTTTAAAGACTTAGTAAAGGAAAAAAATAATGTAAAATATCTCAATGATAGTTTTCTATTGCTTATACTGAATGCATGTTGAAATATTTTTCATATATTGGACTAAATAAAATGTGTTGCTAAACGTAATTTCACCCATGTCTTATTTTTTCAGTATGGCTACTAGAAAATTTTAAATTGCACATGTGGTTCATATTCTATCTCTATTAGTTAGTGCTAGGTTAGAGAATAGTTGGTGTCCCCCAAAGTTTCCTTAAAAAGTCAAGTACTTTAGAATGCTAAAAAGGGGTATTCAGAGTCTTCTTCAAGCTAGGGTCAGTTTTCCCCTCTTCTGCAGCCATATACTGGGGTGGTCTGATGATGAAGCATACCTATGTGGTTGTTTGTCAGTCACTCATTAGATCAAACACATTTTTTCAAATGTAAGTCCATCACATTCTAAGGACAGCAATTCTATGTTCTATCAATCTAGTGAAAATGAGTTTTATTTTTAGATCTTGTTCTTCCTGCTAGGGGATTCTGTCCAATTGCCAAAGCAAGACATCACTAATGAGACTATTCTTGCTTACATGGAATCCATGTAAACTGCCAAATAAATGGGAATTGTGTAAAAAAAAAAAGATAAACATACAAAAAAAAAAGTGCTTGACACAATGGCTGAATGGATGGATTGTGGTAAGAGCTGTAAGAGCCCCCAATAAAATGATCTAAAAAAAAGGAGGAATTGTGTGGGTTAGTCTAACAATAAACTAATATTTTTTATTTAATTGCAAAGCTTACATGGAATTGAAAATTTTTTTGAATTGCCTGGATGAATCATGAGTTAGGGCTCTTTTTGTTCTCCACAAAAGCTTAAGACCTTATACTGAGTTCACACAAAGTATACACAAGGAAAACTGCAGTATTAAAAAATGATGGGCATTTTAAGTCCAGTTTGATTTATAAACAACTTTTACCTATATCCATGGTATTTAAAAATAGACAATCGCATAAATCAGTTGCTGTTTTGCTTCTTTTTCCCCTCTTATTTTTGTTTTGTGGTCATCTATGCAAATAATGGAGCAAACAGCTGTATAGTTGTAGAAATTTTTTTTCCCCAATAAGGCAAGGGACAAGGGGATGTGTCACAAATTCTTGATTGGTGGTAGATCAATACATCACAATTACATGAGTAGGAACAGAACCATGATTGAGACCTGTACATTATTTTAGATAGAAAGGCTAATGGATTGGTACAGGGGCTTCCAACCAAGGCAGTCAGGGGAGACTGATGGGGAAAGACTTTAACTCTTTCCTAGAGTAGATGCAAACCCTCACTGCTATGAAGTCGCTTGCGACTCAAAGGACCCAACTAGGACAGGGACTGCCCTTGTGAGTAACCAAGGCCATAACTCTTCACAGGAGTAGAAAGCTTGTCTCGTCCCATGGAGCAGCTGGTGATTTTGTGGTTAAGCAGCTCAATTTTTAACACAATACGTCAGGAGAGGACCTTCACGTAAGTGCAGGGTGGCCTTGGGCTGCGATCGGCAAGGTCGGCAGTTCGAAACCACCTGCCGCTCTGCTGGAGAACGACAGGCCTTTGTATTCCCGTAAACAGTTACAGCTTTGGAAACGCAGAGGCAGTTCTAGCCTGCCCCACAGGCTCGCTGCAGAACAAACAAAAGGGCAGGGCGGCGAGTTCTGGGAAGTCATTTTCAATCAGGCACCGCATACACCGCCCCAGTTGTAGAATTTTTTAAAAATTAGATGTTTATATATTAACAATTTTTTTTGGAAAATAAAAGGTGCCTAAAAGAAAAAAAATAGGCAAACAATAATGATCTATTTCCTCCATTCTCCCCAACTCACTCAGCCCTTCTCTTTCCACTAACAGTGGGGTTAGGGTTATAGTTTTTGGCTATTGAATACATTTTCTTTTTTAAGTTGTCCTGAGGTTTATTTTTAAATATTAATACATTGTTTTCCTATGTAAAGCTACCCGACAAATTTGTAACCATGATCTCAGTAGTACTATTTATGTTACTAGGAACTATTGATTTCTGAAACAGCATATTATTAAAATTTAAAACTTCTAAGGAATATTCATTTTTAAAATACAAACAGAACATTTGGGTAAAAAAACAACAACAATGATACCTGAGCACTCATTAGCAAATCAAACAGTGAAATGTATTCTCTCAAATATTAACAAATGATCACAACTATATCCTGATATACATTATTATAATTGAAGATGATAAATTCAGTACATATTTCTTAATAGTGTTTGAGGTAGGGAGCCATATATAAGCTGTGTATCACTGTACTTGCACTGAAAATATTTAATCTGCAACAATCACACCCAGGTATGTCTTGAAAGTAAAGCCTGGTGGCCTCCCCTTTTGTCGACCATGAATCAGGTCAACTCAATGGCAACTTTATGTTGAAAACCACACCTGAGACTACATATTAGGGTATTTGATAAAGCAGGGTTTTATTCAAAAGCCTCAATGAAATGAGAGAAATGTAAACAGTTTTACATGTTACTCTAGGGATAAGATTAATAATTTGAAGCCTGAGGCCCTATTGAGGAAATTATCTTTCTGATTTGCTAAAGCACATGACAATAGGTTACAGTAAATAGGGATCTCTGAAATGTCACACTCTCACATCCTATGGGATTTACAGATATAATTCACAGGAGGCCATATTATGGAGCAATTCACAGATTTTCAGCACAGGAGGTGCTATATGAGGGAACTTCAGAAAGTTGTAGAAAAACAGAATCAAAAGTAATGGAATTCTCCCTTATCACACCCCCCCCCCCCAACTTTTTCAAACCTGCTTGTCTCTACTTCAGGGTAAAGCATCAAGTAGAATCACTTTAAAATCCTGACCCTAAAAAGTAGGCACTTGGTATGGTAATTCAAGGCAAATGGTGAATTTAGGCCCCCCAGTCCAAAAGCAAATGGATATGCTGCAAGCATGAATGTGGGAGAAATCTCCCCATTTGTACAGTTAAATGAAAAACAGGGCAGATTAATTTCAAGTCAGTGAAATTGCCTGATTGCTAGAACAAGTTTTTCAAAGAACTCACTTGCCAAATGGAAGCACCATATTTTCACAAGTGTACCCATGTAAACAAGTGAATGCAGGAGCTGATGGACAGTCCTCTCCCACCAAACTCCATATAACAGCAATGTCATCTGCTTTGAAAATATGGTAAATAAAAAATATATGGTAAATCTCAAAAGTCAGATTTTTATCCAAGCCCCAGCTGACAGCTTGTTTAACTGGAAAACTAACACTATATTCTTTACAGTCACCACTCCAATTTGTGTCTGCATAGTGTACAGAGCCACTGAAATTGCATATTCTGAGGAATGCACCAAGTTTGCTCCCAGGAAAATGACTTAATGTTTACAAGTAATTTCCAATTTTTCTCAGGGGGGTTACCTTTAAACTTTCACTTGAACATTGGTTAGGAACATTTCCTTAGCAAATCTGGCACTTGGGGATGCTTAGAATATGAATCAACATTAAAGAAGTAACACAGCTAAAGTTTTATTTGAAAATTCACAACTAGAGACTGACTTGCATATTGTAGAAAGTTAGAAAGAGGTTTGATTTTTGTCTAATCAATCAGCAAACATATGTGGTACATTAGATTTTTAACATTCACAATTTAGAATTTACCACCTATAGTAATTACAACTATACCCTTTACTTGAAAAGTTATGCTTCACAAATTTCTTTTCAACACACTTGTACTTTTAAGGGGAAAAGACCACCACCTCCTTTTAAAATATACTAGTACATTTTAATATGTGTATACCAGTGTCACTAAATGGAAAACAAAAATAGAGGAAAAGAAACATCCACTGTGTTGAATATGTAATTGTTACCACACATAATGACAATGCATGCCCTATACAGTGTACATATGCTGTCATTCCAGCTCTTAGTCATTGTTAGAACCGTTTGGAGGTAAGAAAACCAAAGCATCATTGAAAATATGTCCAAATGCCCTAAGACGGTATACCCCATACATCATCACATGCATCTGATTAGGTGTCAGTCCATTAAAAGTTACAGCCATATCTGAACAGCATCCTTCTACTACTTGCTGGGGTTGATTATTCATTGCCTCTTTAATATAAAGCCCAACAGACTTGGTATTAAATACATATTTTCCTTCTGAATCTTCAGCATTTTCTGCAAACACTCCAGCATATTTTAGGCAGACTGCTAGCTGCTTGTCTTCGGATATCTTCCAGATCATTCCTCCCTGTTCAGGACACTTTTCAGGGACACTGAGAAGGCTGTTTAGTCTTTTCATAGATTCTATACTTAACACAATTCCTCCTTCCATACTCACATATTCAAGGTCTCCAGATTTTATAGTGTGGCCTAGATAGAAGGGCCGTGATTGATCCTTTTTAAACAAAAAATACTTCAAGTTTTCAATAATAGCAAATGTAGTGGGACGTGCGAGGAAGAACCAGTTGTATTGCTCTTTATATTTATCAAAGGCATACTCATACGCTTTTCTCATCATCATCCACATGTCATCTGTTTCCATATTAATTGATTCAAACACCTTAACGTTTTCAGAACTGAAGAACTCTGCTTTGTCACAGTGCTTGGTCCATGTCTCTTTCACTGCAGCCCAAAGACTCACATCTTTGGGTTTTACAAGGATGATACAGTACACTCGAAAACTCTTACTGAGCTCCATGCGCTCATCCTTTGAAATTTTCAAGATATCTTCTTTGTTAATAGGTTGTAGGTGATGATGCTCATGGTGGTGCATTCTATTTCCATGACCAATCCTAATGTGGCCTAGCATAGTGATCAGGGCACAGAAAATGCTTCCAAGCATCATACCCTTCAAAAAGGAACTGCTTTCGGAAAACATTTTTCCTATAAAGAAGAAAAAGATCCTTAAAATACTTAAAGGGAAGGATTAGTGTAGTAATTTGATTTGCTATTCCTTATATGTACATTTTGCTCTACACACTGAAAAGGTTCCCACATTTTAAATTCCGTTTGTGGATAAAGTACCAACAACCCTAGGAATCTTTAGCTTTCAATAAAATAGGAACTTTGAAATAAATCTTCTATGGGACAGAATGTGCTATGGGGAAGAGGCTCTTTATTGTATTCCATCTGTGGGGATTTAATTAACCAGGTATTACAACAAAGCATTAACCCTAGAAACCAATGCTATCAAGTTGTCCTTCCATCATTCTCTTGACAGGAATTTCCTTTCACAAGCTTATATTATTCAAATACTTTTGCAGATTTAAATGGACCTTGACACCAAAACCTACAATTTAACAAATATGGCCACCTACAACTAGTCAATCACCAATGGTTTATGTGCTGACATTTCTATTCTTGACCAGTATTTTATTTAACTAATGGCTGCTGACCTTAGCTGTTTGAGACTGGTAGGCTCTATGTTAATATTTACACTTTCTCTCCTAAAACTAAATGGCTTCCAATACAGTAGCTCAACTAATTGGTGTATTAAGAGCGTACACAGAGAATGAATTATTTGGATGAAAACTGAGTCAATATAGGTATAACTAGGGACCCACTGCCATTGAGTCGATTCCAACGCATAGTGACCACATAGGGCACAGCAGAATTGCTACCTAGGTTCTGAGACTATAAATCCTTCGGTAAGTTGGCTACCTCATCTTTCTCTGATACAGAAGAAGCTGGTTGGCAGATTTGAACCACTGACCTCTTGGTGAGCAGCCCTATACTTGACCAACTGCATCACTAGGGCTCCTTAATGGCCATTTTATGCCCTGAAATGGCATTTCAATCTTGTTTGGGAAAATAAAAAAGAAAAATCTACTCTTTTATTTCAATGAGCAATTACAAAGAACCCCCCTCCCAAACAAAAACTAAACTCATAGTCTACATTATTAATTCCTTCACTCACTGGCACTGTCAATTTCAACTCGTAGCGGCCCAACAGGACAGAGTAGAAAGCCACATTTTTCTTCCAAAGTGCGACTGTTGGTTTTGAACTGCTGACTTTGTGGCTAGCAGCCCAACAGGTAACCACTACTCTACCAGGGCTCCTTGTTCCAAGAAAAAGCCAAGAGCTAATACAACTTCTGAAAAGAAAAATTGCATGCTATCACTGCTGCTAGTCAAGACTAGATTTTTCTCAATCATCTCCACAAATGCTTTATTGAGCTACTTAAGATCATCTTTTTGTCTAAGTTCAAAGGGGTTTTGGAAGTTCTCTGATGCTCTTTTTCTCCTTTCATAGGGCAACTGAGGTCCAGCAGCAGCTAACTCCCAAGTCACAGTTAGTGGAAATGAAACTAGACACCAGATCTCCTGACATCACTTTAACGCCTTAAAAAAATTACACAGCCATCTCCACAGTGCTCCTAACCCTATCACTGAGACTTTTATAAACGAATCACTTATTTTCCCACAAGTCAAGTATCATTGCTACAAGGAAACTATCCTTAGGGTTTTCTTCTACAACGCATACCTTGAAAATATTGTGGGATTGGTACCAGCACACTGAAATAAAGTGGATATTGCAATCAAGCAAGTCACACAGGGTTTAGTTTCCCAGTGCAAACAAAAGTTAGCTTACACTATACCTGTAATCTTTTAAGTATGCTACATCACATGATGAAAAAGTTTAAGACATGCTGAGAATGGTCACAATGTGAGAGACATGAAATGAGCACATGCTGTTGGAAAAATGGCACTGCTAGACTTGCTCCCCGCAGGGTTTGCCACACACCTTCATAATCTGCGGAAGCCCAATAAAACAAGGTATGCCTGTAGAAAAAAGGAGATTTTGACCTCTACCAGAAGGGTAAGGTATAGAATTGCTTGGCACATGAAATTTCTAAGAGTTGGGGTGGGGAGAGAGGTAGGAGGACGGCAAGGTTGCTTACAATACTTGATCAATAAGCACAGCTCCAAGGAGGAGGTGGATTCCCACTCACAGCGACCGTATAGGACAGAGTAGAATTGCCCCACTGTGGGTTTCCCAGCTAGTCAATCTTTATGGGAGCAGACAACCTCATTTTTCTCCTGTAGAGCAGGTGGTGGATTGAAACTACTGACCTTGTGGTTAGCAGCTAAACCAGGACTCCCTGGTAGAACACGCTCTGCTAAAAGACAGACCTATTAGATGTGCTCAACAATTAATGTACTAAGGGATTTAGCATTTCATATTAAACATTTTTGATATTGGCATATATTTATTTCACATGTGCCTCTTAATTCCATAATGGCAAATACGAGGAGGCTTCAAAAAGTCCTCAGAAAAAATGGATTAGAAAGCTAATGGAATTTCCCCACAAACTTTCTATAGTCCCCTCATATACGTGTCAGAATACTGCCTGATTAGAACCTACTGCAAAAAATACGGACCGAGACTCAAGAAGTCAATAAAGTTGTACAGAACATGATTCAAACAAATTAATGAGGTTTTTCCGCCCAATTGTGAACGCTCATGATAGGATATTTGGAGCAGAGTAGAGGGAAACTTAAAATACGCACAAATGAAGTGATTAGGCACAAATCCGAGAGGTTGGGGTAAATCTCTTTTTGAAGGTGAAGATGCTGGGGTGAGGTATCAGAAAGGGAGTTGGCAGAAATGGAGATCAGACAGAGTAAAGCATGGTCACCTCAAGATCCAATTGAGGGGCCCAGAAGAGTACATCCAGGAGTGCGACTCTCCCTCCCAGCTGATTATTCTTCCCTTAGCACCTGCCTTGGCGTCTCGCGTGGAGCATGCTGGGTGTGGGCTGGGGACCAAGCCTTCCTCTGAAAGAGGCGGGGTCAGGCCACTCCGGGGTCCGCTGGGGTGGGACGCTGAAACCCCAGCACTCACCGGTGTCTACAACGTCGCGGGAAGGCGCAGCGGCTCACGGCTCTTGGCTCGCGGCTCTCCGCTCACGTCAGCTCGCCTCGGGGTTTCAGGCTGCTCTAGCTGAATGCTGGCTCCTCTGGTTGGTTTTGCTAAAAGTGGTGACGATAAGGAAGCCAAGGCCACCACGCTGGGGGGAGCGGGGCTGGGGGGCGGGGCAAATGGTTCCTTAGCCTAGCGGAGCCTCCCGCCCACACAACGCGTCCCTTTCTCCCCGCGTACCTCTAGCACGCCTCTTTCTGAGTGCGCATGCGTACACCGCGCGGCCCTTTCGCCCCGCCCCACGCTCTCCCGTACCCAATGGAACGCCTAGAGAGGCGGAGGGGCGTCAGACGCGCCGACACTTCCTGTCTGTTTACCTGCCCGGTGTGGAAACCAAAGCAGGTGGAAGAATCTCGTTCCTGGCAGCACGTAAATCGGGAATCTCATTGGTCCTCTAATCATAGGCTAATTTCCGCATCCTTGCTCACTCACCAGAATGTGCTCCATCCACCACAGTACGCTTGGGTAGAGACCCAAATGTTTGCCATTACGATGATTGAGTGATGAGGACAAGGATTCACTCTGGTTACTGGTGAGGGATCTGAAATCCAGCACTATTGCCACCACTTGCGCTGTCTTCAGAAGTTATTTCACCTGCCTACATACACCTCAGTAACCTTCTTTATAAAATATATAAAATAGCACAGTAATTCCTATTTCTTAGGTTGAGAGAGTACATGTGACTCGGCGAAACAAGCGTAAACATTTACTAATTGCTAACTGTTAATTCACCTTCCGTGATTATTACTAGCCCTCAGTTTAGTTGCCAGCATGCAATAAACAATACATTTTGGTGGATTTTAACGAATTAGAGCTAAATATAAACCAAGTCCAGAAAAGATGAATCACAGATTTAATTAACAGTACAGGTGAGACTGGAATCCAGATCTCCTAATACCAGTGCAGAACTCTTTCCACTAAGAATGTCAGCTCTTAAAATTATTTTGGCAGAGAAGGATTTTTGCTAAAAAGGAAAAATCCCTAAAATATTTTTAACGTATTTTCATTACGTTCCCTTCAAATAACATTAATTTTTCTTTGATTTTAAATTTATTTTTATTTTTGCACATGAGTCTTGTAAGTCAGCAAAGTCCTATTTTTCTTATCTATTTTGCCATTCTATATTTCTGTATTGGTGCTTAACCCATCTGTTTACATTCAATGCAATTAATGTCTATTGCTGTCATTTTGTGAGTTTTATTCTGGTGTTGATTTCTTTGTTCCGTGCATTTTTCTGTGGTGAGTTAATTTTTTTATCAGATTATCTTGTCATTTGTTCATTGTTGATTTTGGGTTATTACATTTGTATGACTTTTCTCCTTAAAGTTAAAAGATTTATTAACTTTGTTACACTGTAATTTATTTTTATCTTCCTAAGTTTAAAAGTCTATTGCATTTTGATCTTGTCCTGCCTGTCTCTCCATTTTGAAGTTCTGTCATATTATTTAGTCCCTCTTTTTGCTTCGTAGTTATTATTTACAGATGGATGTCTCTGGTTTTCTATTTTGGACTTGTAGGTTTATTTTAATTTTTCAAATCATTTCATTGGATCTCTTACAGAGGCTTATTTTTGAAAATCTGAGTTGTTTTTCAGGTGAGATTGTCTTGTGTCTTCATTTCAGGTTGTCTGACATTGTTGGTTCGTTCTTTGCCCAAAGGACTCCTTTTAGCATTCTTACAATGTCGGCCTGATTTTCATAAATATCCTTAATTTATTTTTATCTCAAAATGTCCTAATATTGTCATCATATTTGAGGGACAGCTTTATTGTATATATAGTTATTGGTTGGAAATATTTTTCTTTCAAGATTTTATATCTGTCATCCATTGTCTTCCTTGCCTGCATGGTTTCTGCTGAGAAGTCAAAGTTTGGTCTTACTGGTTAGGTAACATTTTTTTTTCCTGTGCTGCTCTCAAGATTGTTTCCCCATTATCTTTTTTTTAAAATTGATAATGATATGTCTTGGTGATTTTCTTTTGGAGTCTATCCAGGAAAGGTTTTGTTTAACTTCTTGGATGGATATAATTTTGTATTTTATAGTATTAGGGATGTTTGCTACTATCAGTTCTTTAACAGTTCTCTCTTGTGGCTTTTTTCTTCTTTCTCTTCTTCTAGAATCTTGATCACATGTAAATTATTCTACTTGATGCTGTTCTACTTAATTTTCTGGCTTTCATCTTTTTTTTAATTCATAAATTTCCAGCCCTCATGTCAAGGAATGTGTCTTTTAGTTCACCTATCTGTTAGACAATTGATTCAATTTTATCCTTCCAATGTGTTACATATCTCTCAAATTGTAGTGTTAATCCTCTCAATTTCCTTTTTTTCTCTCAATTTCTAATTGCTGTTTTTGTGTGTTTCAAGACGCTATTTATTATATTGTTTTCCTGTTACACTAATTTTCCTGAATTCTTCTAGGATATTGTGTATGTTTTCCTTAATTTTGTTTATGGTTTTCTTAAACTTTTGATGTATAAAGGACTATAGCCTTAAAGATAGATTACAAATCAATGTAAAAACAGAAACTCCCAAAAGCAAAATTGCCACGAATGGACCAATGGACAACATCATGCTAAATGGAGAAAGGGTAAAGTCGTCAAGCATTTCCTTTTGCTTGGATCCGTAATCAATGCTCATTGAAGCAGCAGTCACGAATTCAAGTGATATATTGCATTGGGCAAATCTGCTGCCCAAGACTTGTTGAAGAGCAAATATATCACTTTGAGGAATAAGGTGCCCCCTCACATAAGCCATGGTATTTTCAATCTCCTCATATGCACATTAAAGTTTGTCCAAAGTAAGTAAGTCTAAAGAAATATTGATGCATTTGAATTATGATGTTGGCGAAGAATAGCTATATCTATAAATAAAAATTTATTGGGGGCTCTTACAGCTCTTATAAAAATCCATGCATCAGTTGTATTGAGCACATTTGTACATATGTTGTTGGCGAAGAATATTGAAAGTACAACGAACTGCCAAAGAACAAGCATTTTTGTCTTATTCCTCTTCATTGGCTTCCTCCTCTCTCTGCTATCACCCTTTGCCACTTGTATTCTCACCTGCTTTGCTGCACTTTCCTCGACCAGCTCCAACTTGTGTTCTCACCTGATTTCATTCAAGATCTGGCCACACTGTGCTTCTGTCCTGTAGGGATTTTCTGAATTTGGCTTCTCCTCATCACTGTGTGTTGTCTTCTGTGTCTCAAAATGGCTGGATGGACATTTGGAGACATAGAAGCCAATGTGGGGACCCACCCTCTCATTTTCCTTAGTCACTGTTTTTGTTTCATCTCAAAATCTGATTGGTTTAAATCAAATTCTTTATCCTATCATCCTATCATTTGATGCTCAGAGGTCGAGGATTATCATCTTCATGTATTTCAGCTGTTTTATTGGTCTCTGTTTTAGATGGAAAGTGTGTAACCAGGATGCCATCCTGCCACCAACCCTCCCTTTCCTTTTGGCTTTTTTTTTACTTCATTAAATTTATTACATTTATTTATTTTAATGACTTCATACATAGTGTAATTGTATAAGACACTATTGCTCCCTCTGAGATAGCAAACAAAATAAAATACACTCATTGCCATCGAGTTGATTCCAACTCAAAACCACCCTGTATGGGATTTCTGAGGTTGTACATCTTTACAGAAGCAGACAGGTTCATCTTTCTCCCTCAGAACATCTGGTGGGTTTGAACCACCAATGCTATGGTTTAAATATATCCTTGAGTGTAAGTATGCCCCATACACTATTTAGTATACTACATGAAACCTTCTAAATATTATGTGGTGCATGCTTACACTAAAAAAATTAATCTTTTTTTTTCTCAAATTCAACTAAGTATCTTATATTTTATCTGGCAACCGCAACCCTAATATAAAGGCTTGATTAGATTCTTTTTTTTTTTAAAGAAAAAACTGCATCATGATGGTTCTGTGTGTTTTCCCTAGGAGCCACATAATGTTGGACTGTTTCTCTTCATTATGATAGTTGTCATTCATGCACTATGCCTACCTTATTAATTCCTTTACTCCATGCCATTGCTTCCATTCCGACTCATAGTGACCCTATAGGGCAGGGTAGAACTTCCCCTGTGTGTTTCTGAGATTGTAACTCCCTTGGAGTGGCTGATGGTTTCAAACTGCTGACTTTGCGGTTAACAATCCAATGTGTAACCCACTACATAACAGGTCACCTCATTAATTCTGAAGGGTTGCAACATGCAATCATTTAATTTTCCAGGCATGTAAAAAGTTGTGGTAACAATATATGTATAGGTCCTTGTAACAATTGCCTCTTCACTGATATTAGAAAGGTTGGTAGTTTAATTCCACTCAGGAGTGCTCTGGAAGAAAGGCCTGGCAATTTGCTTGTGTAAGATTAAACTAAACCTATTGCCCTCAAGTTGATTCCCATTCATAAAAAGCCTATAAGACAGTCTGTAGGGTTTCCAAGGTAAATCTTTAAGGAAGAAGACTGCTATATATTTCTACCACAGAGCAGCTGATGGATCTGAATTGTTGATGGGTCTGAATTGATGAGTCTGAATTTAGCTTTTGGCTAAAAGCTGTGCACTTAGCCACTGCACCACCAGGGCTTGTGTCTGTAAGATTATAACCCAGAAAACCATATAGAACAGATATACTCTGTAACATACGATGTTGCCATGAGACAGAATTGATGGCAATGGATTTGGTATTTTGGTTAAAAATATCTGAAAAAATTTGCCAATGCAATCATTTTTATATGTATAGTTCAGTGACATTGATTACAATCTTCATGTTCTATAACCATTATCATAGCCCTTCTCAATTTATTCCACCACCATTAGCATAACCTAGGAGCCCTGGTGGTGTAGTGCATTACACATTGAGTTGCTAACTGGCAAGGTCAACGGTTCAAAGCCCCTGTGGCTTTCCCAGACTGTAAATCTTTTTTTTTTCTTTTTAAAATCATTTTATTGGGAGCTCGTACAACTGTTACCATAATCCATCCATCCATCTATTGTCTGAGACTGTAAATCTTTACCACAGCTGAAAGCCTCATCTTTCTCTTGAAGAGTGGATGGTGGTTTCAAACTGC